CAGAAGACTACACAAAAAATAATCTTGACTTATCGCATAGTAATAAATTATTAATATAAAAAATTTATTTCTGTTTTTTCTTTTTACATATTTTGTTAAAAAGCCAAATAAAGACTTCAAACCAAAAAAAAGTAATTTTCTGTTTTGTTTTATTCTTGGATCAGGCTTTAAAGGGTTAAAGACGAGCACTACTCTAATGACACTGGTCATTGACTGGACTCTGGCATTCCTGTGAGCGGCCAGCTATGAGACGCTGTGGTCATTTTTCAAATGTTTGATTCTGCAAATAAAATGTGAGCTGGGCCCACAATAGTATCACTGACTGAGTGTGGACTCAGTGTTCTGTTCCCACTATTTGGGCTATTGGGTGTTAGCGTTTCTCTTTGTTACCTATTTAAAGGCCTTTGGTGTGTTAGCCTTTGTGTGTTCGCATGTTAATCCAAAATTTGTTGTCCTTCAATATTTCATCCAATTCATTTGTTTCTGAGCAAAGTTTTGGATCATGTCTTAGTCCCCAGGTGGTCCAGGAGACAGAAGTATGGCGGTTGCCATGTTAATGCTGTTTCAGGCTAAAGAATAAAGGTGTTTATAGAGGAAGAATTTACACCAAGACACCAACAAAAAGGCCTTAAATAGTCATGACTTTAAAAGTCATTATGTTCCACGTCTCCACACTCTGAGAGAACTTTGAGTTTTGAGACATAACGATAGCCACACAGGGTGGAAATGTTGGAAACCTTTTACTTTCACTTTCACTTTCACTTATTATCAATCAGTTTGTGAATCCAGTAAACTGGTTTGATAGAAACAGGAAGGACAGTGTTTTTACAATCGTCAACATCTGCTGGAGGGTTTATTTTTGTGTCCTGGCTAAAGGAACAGGGCTCTTACGCTGGGTATGTTGTCATTGGTGCACACTCCCTCTGCAAGTAGCCGGTCTCTGATCTCCCAAGCGAAAATAGACGGGCACTCTCTCTTGTACTGAGCGATTTTAGCCACCACCTCTGGAGTGGCCACTCTCGGTTTACTCCCTCCTATGGCCCGGGGACGGATCGAGCCTGTTTCATAATACCGGCCCAGGATCTTACTCACACAGCCATTGGACACCTGGACACAGAAAGCATTTTTTTACTTGAAGTGATTAACCAGACTTTACTGATGGAAGGAGAACTGCACATTTAACCCTGTAATGCCAAATGTATCATGTTTGATTCATACGGTTTCTGAAATGTTTTGCGTCTGACACCTTTTGCATAATTTAATGGTAAAAAC